TTTTTTTTGATATTTCCTTTGATTCGCAAACGTACGCGATGGAACGAAGGATCGTTTTCGATGTAACGCCTCGCTTCGTTCGGCGATAATTGAAGAGTAAAAGTAGCGATAGCCGTGAATCGGTCACTCGTTTTACGTTCAAAAGCAATCGTTCTATGTAATGTAATAACGCGAATCGAATCGATACGATGAAATGTCGCGCGTAATTGCTACGATTTCATTCGCGTTTCACGTTAATGGCACTGCCAAAGCGACCGTTTTTTTCCGCCCCCTTTGACCCCCTCTACTGCCTTTCGACCTATGTTTTTTTGTTCTCATTTCGTATACAAACGGTGGTCGTTTACAAAGAGAAAGGGGGAGAGAGAGAGAGAGAGGGGGAGAGAGAGAAAAGAATCCACAAAAAAATGAAAAATACGTGAGAAGTAACAAAACTGGTAATCTAATCGCGAATGCTCGACGAAGTATATATGCATCGAAACTTTTCAGTTTAATCTCGAATATTTTATTATTGATTGTTTTGTGATTCGAACGATCAATTGAATTATTATACACCGAGTAGAGATTAGCCTGTCCGTGTTATTGTTTTTATTTATTATTATAATTATAGATTCCTCGGCACGATTTCTATCGATCGAAACATTCCAGATCTCGCTAAATATTCGTGGAACCTTGTATCGTTCTCATTATGCTCTTATATTGCTCCGCTATTCCAGCAACTTCGCTAGATGGTATTCGATTTTGAAATATTTGGCTGAATAGAATGCCGAAGTTTCTTATGTCTATTTACAAGTTTCTTCCTTTCTATGATGATAATAATAATATAATCGATTCTTTATCTTGATTATAACGTTATTTCCCTCTTTCTTCATCTCATCTTCTTCTTTTTCATCATATTCTTATCGTTAAATTACTATTATAACTATTGTTATTATTATATATAATTAATTCTATTATTAATAGTATATTATTATTATTATTATTATTATTATTATTATTATTATTATTATTATTACGAAGGTGTACATAATTATTATACATATCTGTATGCGTGTAATACGCTTGGAGAACGGTCGACGCATTCGCGCCCTCGCGTTCGCTCATTTCTTTAATCGGTATCGGAAATAATTCATTATTTTTGTAAAATTAATCTTTGAATTATATTAATATTCTTCGGACAGGTTATTTATTTTTGATTAATGAAGGAACAAGCAAAAAAGAAAGGAAGCGTTTTCGATCTCTATCGGGCGGGCGTATATGTCGTTTCATGAATTTGATACGATGAGACAGAAGAAAAATAATCATTTTTATAATATGACATAATCACTGCTCGAATCTCGTCTCGTTAAAGTCACTGTACTGCATTGTTTTTTTTTTTTTTTTAACCCTCGGCCGCCTACCTGTTGTTTTTTTTTCTCTTCCTTTCTTTTCCTTTTTTTTACATGAAAGAGAGAAGAAAATGAGGGACGATGTAAAGGAGTTGAAGTTTTTCGTTTACGACAAAATAGAAAATGACGTATCGACGATAGCAGTTAATATCGCGTATGTACCTTCGTTATTCCTCGTTACTCCTCGAATATTAAGAATTCTCGTTTCTCTCGTAGATCGATCGTTGCCATCAAAACTTTTCCGTGCGTAACGAATGAAGACCGATATGCTTTTAGATGCTTTTTAAAAAGCGTGGAAAGCGGAGTTGAGTGTGAGAGAGAGAGAGAGAGAGAGAGAGAGAGAAAGAGAGACAGAGAAAGCCTCTCTACGTACAAGAAAATACTTTCATACGTTATTCCCCTTCTACGAGTTAAACTTCAATTCTTTTTACATTTTCCGATTAAATATATATCCGAGGCAATCTTAATAATCTCGTATTTTAATTCTTTCTTTTCTTTTCTTTTCTTTTCTTTTCTTTTCTTTCTTTCTTTCTTTCTTTCTTTCTTCCTACCTTCCTTCCTTCCTTCCTTCCTTCTTCATCTTTTTTTCTTTTTTAAAGTAATTGTAGTTTTAAATTTGTATTTTATCTTTTTATTAACCCTGTAACTACCACTAGAATTTGCGTGCCGCTGAGAACACCGTTTCCACAAGCACATTATTATTTTACAAAATTCGAGCACGTTCTTATTCGACAGTTCTCGATTTTGATAAGATATAACAACGATCGTTTAAATATATTATTAATCGTATGGACCCGAAACAGACTTTAAACGCGTAAAATATTTTATAAACTAGAAAACTCTTATACACATTACTCTAGATATCGACGAGAAATAATAACGATCATTTACATTTTTTTAAGATTTATGTGTGAGAGATAGTCTCTGAGATACATTAAACATCAACGCGTAGCTTTAACATTTATTTCGCCAACTCGTATATTTCGATTTTTATGAAACGCGCAAAAATCTTCGTATAGAAGCTATTCAATTTTTTTAAAATTTACAACGATTACTCTTTTGATTGCCGTTTATCGAATAATTTTGATACCAATCTCTTCCTTTTTTCCTTCCTTCCTTCTTTCTTTCTTTCTTTCTTACTTATTTAACATTTTACTTAAAATATTTTGTTTTCTTTTTTCTTTTATTTTTAAATAATTATTTTTTCCTTTTATCTTGCTAAAATGTGTTTGAATTTTCCCCGTCTTCGCCATTTTTATATATGGACAGGATATGAACGGCATTGCCATCTAGCGATGATAAAGAGAACCGATAACTTACGCTAATGCTCGACAGCGGGTAATATTGCTTCGGAAGTTGACTTATCGTCGGCAGACCATCGGTTAGAACATTTTTACGAAAAGATGATAATTTTGACGATTTACCTGTCAAGAAGGGCAGTATTTTTGATTTTGATTGGAATACATTTTGACGATCGTTGAAAACAACAATATTTTCTCACGATTTTTTAATATAATCGATTTGATATAATCTATAACGATAAATAAACAAACAAATTTTCACGATGTTTTTTCCTTTAACTCTTTCCTTACATAGGTTTCGTTAATATCGAAATCATTGAGTTGGCGTATCACTCTTGCGAGTTATTTTTCATGATAAAAGTCTTTTGATAGTTAAAGGGTTAACGGAAGTATTTCCCATTAAACGATGCGATTTTTAACGTCGCGTTTGAATATCATTCGGACGACGACGTTTCGATTCTCTCGACGTGTCTTCGGAGCTTGCTCTATTGGGGATGATGGTGGTGGTGGTGGTGGTGGTGGTGGGTTGTCGTGGAGCAACAATTACGATTACCAACGCGTATTTTTATTTACATAATTCGAATCGCGTGCCGGTCTCGCACGTAATGATTCTTGGCAGGCAATCGAATAATCTTCCACGAAAATCTCCCATATATCCGATTAGACCCGACCGACGGCGATCTCAACGAGGTTGAATAAAATGTGAAAGAGAAGAAAAATATAATCAAATAATAGAAAAAAAAAATCAAAGGGTAAAAGAAAAGAGATAGATAGAGGGTGAGAGATAGAAAGAGAGAGAGAGAGAGAGAGAGAGAGAGAGAGAGAGAGAGATAGAAAGAGTAGATGAGAAAATGAAAGAATGATAATAAAAGAAAAAAAGTTAAAAAAAGAAAAATCCAAAGAATGATAATAAAAGAAAAAAAGTTAAAAAAAGAAAAATCCAAAGAATGAAATAAATTGAAGAAGTATAAAGAAGAAAACTTGTTAAAGTAAAAGAAATAAGAATGGAATAAGAATGGAATAAGAAAGAAGATGAATATTCGTTAAAAACGCGGACTGGTGTAACCTACCTATCGCGAATGGAAGTAGTCGTACGGATTTAAATAATTATAGACATTTCGAAGTGAAATCGTTTATCGTGCCAGAAGGAGACTGGTTACGAGTATAGTCGTCAGCAGCATTTCGTTCAGGATCCTCCTTGCGGCCGACGTTTTGCGCCGCTGAATCGCCGCCATTTTGTCACCTGGAACAAGAAATAGAAGGGATCGAATAAGAGTGGAGTAATTAAATTAAAGTTTGCGAGACGAAGGTCCGACGTGATCGAGGGCTCGGACCGATCGGTACAGTCGTTGATCAAAGTCGTCGACCATATCTTCCGATTCACGCTCCCATCCCCTTTCCTACCCCTTCATTCACCTATTGCTTCCGCTAATCTACTTTAAACCTTTGTTTTCTTTTCTTATTTGGATTTGTTCAACACGAGTTCCATAAATTCGACGATTGAACGTGCACTATGTTCTATGGAATCGTTTCTTTCTTCCTTTTTTCTTTTTTTCTTTTTCTCTCTTTCTTCTTGTTTTTTTTCTTTTCTTTTTTTTTTTTTTAAACGGGAGGAAGCTGAGTTTACCCGAATTAGAATAAACTATCGTCGAGTAGTACAAATATTCTTTTTTTATTCACATTAGTAGGGAAAAATTCAGAGAGCTTAAAACTTTCCTCAACTCGCTTTATAACTTTTGTATAATTTTAACTAAGGATCAAGTTCCATTTCAAGAAATGTCAATGTGTAACCTTTTAATTTTCGGTATTACGACCTTAAAATAATAGTTCTTGATATATTTGTTCCTTTTTAATTAAACATTTACTATTTTAGAGATTTAATATTTTCTGATGATTTAAAAATATTAAGGTTTTTTATTTTAGATGTGAAATATTTATTGTGATTGTGTAGGATAGATTATAAGTAGGATTGTGTAACATGGGGAAAAATATAAAAGATTGGACGAGAACAAGTTTAAAATTCATGCTGGCATGGATACGTCGCGAATAATCGAATCTAATGTAATTTTAAAAACGGATTTTCTTTATTTTTTTTTCCGTAGGAGAACAAGGGCGAATTGGTTAGATGAATGAAATGTAATTCATTATTTCATTATTCTTCGATCGTTCGTGATCGATGTATAATTCAAAGGAAGAGAAAGAGGAGGATAGAAGGAGGAAAAGGATGAGAGACAATGAATCTAGTTGAAGGAAATTCATGCGATAGGAAAATTGCGAAAGGTTGTAATCGTTAAGCGGATTCGATATTTTGTCCCTCGAGTTCTCCTCGTTACGCTTGCGAGTCTCCCGCAAACGGACTTATTGTTAGTTCGCTTTGTCCGGACTTTCGCAAAAATTACGTTAACTTTCCGCTTAGTTACCTCAAGTACCCCCTTTTTTTTCTAGGCAACCGGTGTTGCAGGCGTCCCACACAAAATATTTTACTCTGAGCGGCTACCTCGGTTTAACTTCGTTCTTGGCTTATATCTCGCCTGGGAGACCCTACGTTAATTAATCGGAAAGTTAAATTCGGCTAGGGTAAGGCTATAAGGAAAGTAAGGGTACCGTGATTTGCGGTAACCTAAGAAACCTTCGATTTAACGATCTTCGACCAAATTATATCTTTGTATATATACTCTATATATATGTGTTGATACATACTGTATACATAACAATGTTATATATACATATACAGCGAGTTATAGAAGTATTCGTACCCTTACTATCAATTTAAAAAGTAATCAATATTTTCTTGTAATATAATTTTATAAATTTTTATTCACAGAAACATATTTTAGGATAATTAAATTTTTAAATTAATTATCATTTTATTTCAAAAGAGATCATTTTTGTTATAAAACAAGTCAAATTTAATATAACCGATAAGATTATATTTTTATCTTATCTTACGTACATAGATGCAAATACTCTTATGAAACCAATTTTTGATCATTTAAGTAAAATGATATTTCTCTAAAAATAAAATGTTATTTTGCAATAAAATTGATATCAATTTAAAAGTTGAATAATTCTAAAATAGGTTCTTCCTGCCTATAAGAATTTTGAATCTTTACATTACAAGCAAATATTAATTATTTTAAATTTATAATGATAGAAGCACTTATACGAATACTCCTGTGATTCATTCTACATAAATACATATGAACATCGTTAATATTAATAGAACATAGCTCAGTTGACCCTTTTTATAAAATGACTTTCCCGTTATATCGTTTTATTTTTACGATCGATATCTTGATAATCCTTTTAATTGATATTCTGGAATTCAAAGGCGGTAAATGTCGAAGCTAGTGTCTGACAATAAAGTGGTTTAATTCAACTTCCTGATCAAATAGTGAAGATCTTCGAAACTAAATGAGTTCTGGATTTATGAACAAGAGTTGACGTAAACTTTGTCAATTACGTCACCGCTACAGCATTATAGAAGACGTGTACCAAAGCACAAAGGGATGTTCGTAGTCTGACAACTGGGCCGGTATAATGCGTAAGGCTTCCGTGTTTTAGTCTTCAAAGAGCTTAAGCTTCTCGCTTTAATCTAACATAAGAAAGAGAACTATAGTGGTAATTGGCGTTCGACAATTTTTCCACGAACATTTCGGCTTCCTACGTTTTTCTTTAACATCGATCGTCGAGTTCAAAGTTTTTTCGATAAAAGGGAAAAAGTCAATTCAATGAAACGATATCGAAGGATTTCTATAAGGGAACATGAAAGAAAATTAATATAGAAAGTAATTCATGCTTAATCGATAAAAATAAATCACATAATTTTTCGTCTTTGATACAAAACGATCTTTTAAAGTATTAATTATTTCTATGTAATAATATCTGTACGTATCTCGACCATAATAAAAAGTAATATTACATTAAATGATTTATTTGATATAAAAGTATTTTTCTTTGATATTATTATAAAGTATGTCGCGATAATATATCAAAATATGACGTAAATTATTATTTAATTCACTTTTTTTTTTTTATGTATATTCGTTTTAACCTATAATAATATCCAATCTTTTTGTTAATATCCTTTAATAGAGATTATTAAAAATTTTAATTAACGAAATGAATACGAACATATTATTATTAGTATTGCATTTATTGACGATTTACCTAAATATATACATAATTATTGCATAATTATTTATTGTAAATTAATTTCCTTTCTAAAGTTATGCTACTAATTGTATCGATCTGATCTAAAATCGTGCGCGTTTAATTATAATATTCTATTACTCTCGATATTTATTACTTATTAAAACATTTTTATACTGGGATCAGATTGTAGAATATTTGTTGAAAACAAGAATGGTATTTTGCGAAGAATGGTTGGATAGAAAGAGGAAAGAAAAAAAATGTGAAAAAATAGGGGGAAAAAAAAAAAAGGATAAAGAAAAGAGAAATGCAAAAAAAAAAGAAGGTTGTGATTTCTTAGCCGTCACGTTTTCCTACGTGTACTATCAGGATTCATGACGCAAAGCTCCGGGGCCTTCAGATTTGCAACATTCATCGGATATACGTGTCCTTCGTGAAGCGCGAGCACATGCACATTTTTACCGTAATTTACGGCGAGCCGTTCGCCCATATGTTCCCGGGAGAGCGTGAATTACGATCCTCTGTATATGTATGGTAACGTTGCTACAGGACGTTAATACACGCGCAAAATTCGTGGTCCGTGAGGAGACGCTATAATGGACTCAGTGTCTTCAAAATTTCATCAGAATGTGTACATCTAACGTAGATCTACTTGGATGAAACCTACGTGTATGCGTATATGTATATTTATAATATACACAGAATGAATCCGCAGGAAAGTTTCAAATTCTAGTAGGGGTGTGTATACTGCACGTAAAAATAATTTACAAAAAAAAAAACAAACTCAAATGTCGTTATCCGATGTTTTCTTTGTTTTTAAGTTATAACGTCACAACGAAATTCCTCGCACAAATTGTTCTAATTATTGCGTTAGTGTTGCGTCATAGCACGATGGTCATATTAATTGACCACCAAGGTTTCCTGTGATCTCACATTATTAGTCTATTTTTTGTGGGATTGGTTTGAAGAAGAGATATGTAAAGTAAAAGTTTACATTCGGGATACACTAATTCGATGTATTAGAAATATTATAGTCAATATTAAAAAAAAGGTACGCATCAATTATATGAGCAACGGGTGCCATGTTAGTCGAAATAAAAAATGTTTAGAAGGAAATGGTTATATTTTTGAACCTCAAAAAATGCAATAATAATTCAGTAGTTAAAGTATGAGATTGAAATTTTTATCTGTCTTTAAAGCTAGCTTTTATTTGTACAACTATATTCATTGTTATCCGTTCCTATTTCTTTATTCTTGTATTTTGAAACAAATGCTTTGTGTTCTATCGACTTTGAATTTATATGTTACGTGGTTGTGTGAAATATGTAATTATGTCTTATTTTAGATTTTAACTTGGGTGGTATAGTTATTTCATGACTTAATCAATTTTTCATTTTATCATATATACATATACGATATATATTCAAAGTATTCGAACGAAAAATTATTTTGGTAAAATAAATGCTTATTCCATTTGATTTAATTATCTATCGAAAATTATTGAAATCGATTAAATGATTGTGATTACACACACACACACACACACACACACTGTACTATGTAAATTTTATTCTTTCATCTCGTTTAATTAAATAGAAACAGATACACGAAGCACCATTAAAATGAATTTAAAGTGTTAATGAAAAAATGATTAAATAATCGAGATTAATTTTGTTACGTATGTATGTATGCATGCATGTATGTATGTATGTATGTATATATATGTAGTATGTAAAGATAGAAGAAGGGGAGGATTCGTTTTCTCATAAACGTTCCATCGGGAAATGGTACGAATCGATATTAGGTCGGCTAAATATCTCTCTTTCTCTGTTTTTTCTCTTTTTCCCATCTTTTTTCTCCTCTTTCGTTCTCTTCTCTTTTTCTAGAGTAGAGAAACACGAGGAAAACTACTAGGCAACCTTTCCCAACGTTCTCTCATTACTTTTTCATGGACACTCGGTGCGAGCTTCGAATGGCGTGTTGGAGCTTGCTCGTTCACCTTTTGCATCATCTGGAACTTAAGTTTGGTCCCGTGCACAGGAGATAGAGGAAATGCCTTATCTCGCGAATGGAAGCTCAAACCTGACCTTTCTTCTTCAGGTAATGCCCTCTAGGAAGATGAGGAAGAAAAAGTAGAAAGAAAGAAGAATAGAGGAAGAAGAAGGAAATAAAAAAAAAAAAGAAATAGATTATGTCTTAGGTTGTGAATCGATTTTTCGAAAATGAACTAACAAAAAAGGAAGGAAAATTGCTAAAGAAAATATATTTCTATAGACAAACAAAATAATATTCGTTATCGTAAGCTAATTTGAATCTTCGAATAAAATGACAAGTGTACATTTAAGAAAATGAAATAAAGAAATGGAAGAAATCAAACGAATGTTTAGAAGACTAAAGACAAAAGTCGGGGCAACCCTCGTTATCCCTCACGATTCTTGAGATTACGTCGTTCGAAGGATCACGATGATCCTTTTACCCTCGACCCCTTTGCTTTTTTCGTAATCTAATTAAGCTTTTCCAACAAGGCAACTCCTCCTTCCTCTTTTCTTCGGTCGATTATGAGGGTTTCACGATGAGGCGTTCTGCTCTCTCAACGAACGGACTATGATCTTTTTTTTTTGTTAACCTCAAGAATTTCGACAAAGAGAAAAATAAAGAGAGAGAGAGAGAGAGAGAGAGAGAGAGAGAGAGAATGAACGAAAAAGATGGAAAAAGAGAATGGAGTTTTTTGTTCGTCAAAGCTTCGTCGTTAGTTTCGAGTTTCATTAGGAAGGGGTTAAATATATATATATATAATATATACATATATGTGTGTGTGGTGGGTGTGTATATATACATACATATGTAATCTATTATAGGTAGAAAAACATGGACATATATTGTATATATGTGTATGTAGGCATAAGGGATAAAAAGGGTGAGAGTGTATGCGTGTATGAGAAATAGAGAGGTACGCTAAGGGAGGTCATCGAAGTGATCGATCGTCGAAGAACCAAAGAAGCTCTTCTATCTTTCTCTCTTTCTCTCTGCAAGCTCGCTCGAGTGCTTCTACTGGGGCGTGGATCCCAACACGTTCGATCTCCTAACGCTGAGACGAGTTACGTGCGTGAATACGCGCATACACATACACACAACCATGTAACATCATACACACTACACATTATATACTAATTCGTAGAACACACCAACATACACACACACACACACAAACTTATCGGAGCGCCTATTAAAGTACGTATTATTTCTAAAAATATCCCTTTGCCTCGAAGAGAGTGGTGTGCTTTATGCGTTGATAAAAAATTTAACGAGTAATACGTCACTTTGTTCTTTTTTTTTTTTTCTTGTAGCACACATATATACGTAAGTATACATTTGCACGCGTTTCGAGCTTCTTTGTGTTTCTTCGCGCGTTGAATAGTTAAACAACGTCGTGATTTATATTATAATATTTCGACTTAAAAAAACAACTTTTGAAAAATGTATTTGTCAATGTAACTAAAAGTACTTACAAGTAACTACATTTTGTCGTTTCGTTTAATGAACTACGATGGGAGAAACGGCAAAAAAGAAATATAGTTTTTGCTCGCTCGCTCGGTGAAGTGTATTCTCGTTTGGTGGAAAAAAGTAGCTAAGGGCTAGCGAGAAAAGAATATACGTTATAATAACAGACGGTGTTTTTTAATATAAAGCTCGTATTAAGGGGTGGCAAAGGGGGATAGGGGATTGGAGGGGGTGGACTGATGGGGTAGAGAGAAGACAGGAAGAACGGGAATTTGCGCGCGTAACTTTAGTTACCCCGATGAATATATTTCGACCTTTTCTACGTCGTTTCTCGAGTAACGCGTTAAACAGTTTCGTTTAAGCGGATCAGAAATGTACGTATATCTATACGTATAGGTATATATACACGCACACGCACACGCACAGACAGACAGGTATACATACATACATACAATACATACATACGTAGTTCATACATACGAATATAAGTACTCAAGCATGCTCGGAAGTTGAAGGGTTTTACTTTTAATACCTTTCTGATACCTCTTTGTTCATCGTAATCTGTTTGAACTCATCCCTTCGTAAATACTTACTACCGTGTAAGAAAATGATTTCAAAGATGTTCGTTTACGTATTCATATAAATATTTTTTCTCAAATTTTTCAAGCAAAATACACGTATCCATTTTTTTTTATTCGTAATTTTCATTGAAACCGATTATTCTCGTATCTCGTTTCCTCTCTCTCTCTCTGGTTTATTTTTCTTTTATTTACTTTGTTCGAATAAAAAATCCATTCCTTTCCAATCATAAATAGCACCTCAAGAGTTCCACTTTCTCCGTTATCTAAACGAGGAACACTTCAACGTATTTCGAACTTTTCATTAATTATCCGTCCCCCTAAGAATAGTGGAAAAATAAATCAACGATTCCGAGAGATAGGAAGGAGGAGGATACCTCGAGGGAGTTAACATTATCGCGTTCACTCTTAATTATCGTAAAAGGTAAAATGTACGCGTTTTAGATTCCGACTATTGTTGTTGTTATTTTTTTTTTCTTTTTCTTCATTCTTACGAATTCACGAAAATGCCCATTTATTGTGACCCTATTTATTTTTCTTAAATATTTTGTCTGTATCGTTCGTGAATTATGTAGGAACATTCGCTATCAAAAAATGATTTTGAGAATTACTTTCTTCTTTTTTTTTTTTTCAAGAAAAATACTCATACGTTGTTCCAAACAATACATTTATGTTATTTTAGTTAGACTGTGGTAATACATATGTATGTACGTACATAAATATACTCACCCTCGGTAACGAAGACAAAGATGGATGCAGGCTTGGTATTGGACGCGTTACACGTGTAATTGCCGGAGTCCGATTCCACGGCCTGGCGTATCGTCAGTCGACTCTGGGTTGGTCCTGGATCGGTTTGTACGGTGACGCTGCCCCGCGAAGTGTCGTAGTTTATCATCCGGTTATTGTGATACCAGAATACGTATTGCGGCGGCGTAGGGCTCTGCAAGCAAAAGATAAAGAGAACGATTTCGTTTGACGAGCTTGCTCGGATGTTACTACCTTTTACTATATTTTTTTCTTTTTTTTTTTTTTTTCTATCTACCCTCCTCTCCCATTCTCTCACTCTTCCTTCATCATTCATATTTTTTTTCTATTTTTTTTCTTGTTCTTTAAACGGAAAAACAGTGTGCACAACGTATGTGCACACGTATGTTATTACTTTATCACGAAACTCGACGATGCGTTCTCGTTTCTCCAGGTAGTAAAAAACGATTTCACATCGATTGTTATAAATTACCGGACAATTTCGTATTTTAAATTTCCTCTCTTTCTCTCTCTCTTTCTTTCTTTCTCTCTATGTAAATTTAAAAATGTGTTCGTACATACACATTTACGTATAGACACATATCTATTTTTTTTTGTCGATAGCAGATATTTGAACTTCTGTGTTTTTTGAAATTAATATGTTGCTTCATTTTTGCTTTTCTCGTATTGGTTAATCGAATGAATTTTTAGAACAAACGAAAATGTGATGAAGATAAATCGACTAGCATGGACCCCTCCTCCTTGATATAATATCGACCAGACGGAAATAAAAGTGATAATAGGGTGAAACAAAAAGAAGAGTTAAAGAAAAAAAGAATAAATGAAGGGCGTTCGCGTGTTTTCTCGCAATATGCACCGATGCGTGTCTGTGATATTAACTTTAATCGTTCCGCTTAGGTCGATAGCAACGCGATATTTTTCTGTCTACCGATATTAGAAACGGTAATTACAGATTTTTCACCTCGGAAAATAGCGTGCCATCTCGACAGTGGATATCATATTTTGTACTTATTATTTAAATTACAAAAACATCGCGTTAGATGCTTAGTGTGTGAAATTTTTCACTTGGGACAGATAACACGTAGTCCCACATTAACGATGATTAAAAAATCATTATACTTGATCAAATATGTATGAGGGAGGGGTTCGAGGCCATGATGAATATTTTATAGGTCGCGTCATTCCATAAACTATCAGCTAGAATCCGTTAAATTTAACTTCCAATTAATGCTCAACGATTTAAATTACACGAGTATATATAATATAATACATATACGCGTATATAAAACATTTGGTATAATAATGATGTAATTCACGATATTTTAGTCCAATCTATTTCTCATTGATACACGGATCTTTAGTAAATTCTCGACAATTTTATTTATCGACAAATGGACCCAACATTGAATTTTATATTCTCTTTCTCTTTCTCTTTCTCTTTCGATGATGATTACAATCACTAAAGTATTCAACGAGTTAGATGTTGATAATTTAATGTCTATACGAAATGAAAGAGAATGGACAGTTAGAAATCTTTGTATGTAGGACAAGCTCGTAATTTCTATGTGAGATAAAACCCATTGAAAGAATCCTTGCTGTAATTCGTTTCGGTATAGAAGTATATATACGCCTACATGTAAAGTACGTATATATATATATTGTAGATACTTCTCTATACTTAAAGGGTACGCGAGGAGTTAACTTGAGCATGAAAGAATAGCCGGTTCAGAGAGAATCCTACGAGCAGAGATTTTCGCGCTTGACGGATCCTGGCAAAAGAGAAGAAAAGCATAGAAAGTGGGTAGGTCGGAAGAGCGCGCATTCTTGCCTGTTAAATGTTCCTTCTTTTGTTTGTTACGTTAGTTAAGGTACCAGCCCTTAAGCCGACTCTAGCGGTTACACACTGCGTTGTAGTTGGACTTTATGAATACCCTGTTTCTGTACCCATGCTTGGTCGACTTTTCTCATTCTCTTTTTTACTTTTCTCTTTTACTTTGATATTATTGGTTGAAACAACAGTACTTGGGGTATAAAAAAAATATGTTAGTACGTGCGACAAATAAAAGTAGTCACTTTTTTAAAGGATTACTTTCAAAAGGACACATACGGAATATCGATGCAACATCTAACGAGAATATCGAGATCCGAGTAACTGTACTTCGTAAGTTGGAAAATTCAACGACAAGAATTTAATATTGGGAGAGAAATACGAGCGTACTCTCGTATAGACTTAATTTTATCAAGCACTAATGGATACACGTGAGTGAGCTTTTTCTAAAAAGCGAGTGGAATATGAAAATTAACGTTCGCGTTACAGATGGATGTGTGTGAGTATATCTATATCTATCTATACTAATTGTAAGTATATATATATATATATATATATGCATATATATATAATATATAAGTACATATATGCAAGGAAACCTACTTTCTTTCATTCTCGTTATGTATATTGCATTGTTAATCTTCTTATGTTAATCTTCTTATATTATTCCTAGTCGTTATGGTAATCTTTAATCATGTATATACTATTCATATATTTTATGTCGCATTTCTATTATAGTATTATATATGTTCTTTTTTTTTTCTCTTTTGTAACAGAAATAGAATATAGATTTACTATTTTAAAATTACAAAATCTGTTAATACACGAAATAACTAGCTAAATCATGAAATAACTATATTGATAAAGTATAAAAGAAGCCAGAATAAAATATTTTATAACTAGGTAATATAAAAATTTACAAGAGAAAAGAAGAGTTGTTAAAGTATGAAATTGAAATTTTATCCGTATATTAAATCTGAAACAATAGCACGACAAATACAATATTGGTTTTCAAAATACAAAAAGGAGTAAAAACGGATAATTACGAGTATTGTTGTAGAAACCAACTTCACATTAAACTTGAAGGTCTTTACTTGATCTGTATGGGGATTGGGGCGAATAAATAAAAACTTTCTCATTTATTTCCGATAGCCAAGGTGGTGTAGTTTTTTTAAGCGTATAATAAAATTATTTTTATATGTTTTCCACCTGATACGCTTAGTTATTTATTGCAAGACTTACAATTAGTATTTTCATTAATAAATTGAATTATACATTTTAACGGATACATACATGTATATATATATATATATAATATTTGAACGCGTAAGTAAAAACGATAAAGAATAGAGAAATAATGTGATGAATTGATGAGAATAGAAAAATATGCGAGATCGACGAGAATGACGATGGTCAAACAAAGGAGGAAATCGTGGTGAAAGAGGAGAACGATTAATTGGCCTCGTCACCGCGTTTTATGCGAACCTTATCTTACTTTAATACGGCAGTAGCGTGAGATGCGCAAAATGGAAAAGGACAAATTACTCTTGACAAATGGAATGAGCTTGCTACTCGGCTATCCTTCTTCTTCTTTTTTTCCCTTTCCTTCCCCATTTCTTTTACTTTTTCTTCTCTTCTAGTTCTACTTCTATTTCTACTTCTACTTCTTCTTTAGATGGTCGTTGAGAAAAAGAGAAATAGAGATAAAGGACTGACGAATAAAACGTTTTCGTGAGTTCTCGACAATAGTCTCTCGATGTGCTCGGTTTATGGCGAGTATTGAACCAATCGCGTACATCCGTATACTACTTTTTTTTCTTTTTTTCTTTTTTTTTATTGTCACCCGATGTAATTAACGTCCTCAAATTCGGGCGTTAATTAAGCGACTTTTAGATTAATTATAATTCATTGCCGCCGACCGTACTACGGTCAAGTATTTAAGCATTGAAAAAAGAAAATAATTAAATATAATACAAATTTCTGGCAACGTAAATAACAAGAATTTCAATGGCTTATTCGAGGAAGAATTGTTGAAGGTTGGTTGATCGGTCAAATTATTTCACCGGGGTTGTTCTTTTTTTTCTTTTCCTACGTATATGAAAAAATCATCTGCCATGAATGAAAAAGCCGAATACAATGACGGGAAAAACGGTAGAGAAAATACGAAATCTCCCGTCCCATGAGAATCCCAATTACGAAGGTCCCCAAAGAGCTTTGCCTTCAGAATCGGCGGCATTGATATATGAGACTCGTCTTGAAAATCGTATGACTGGGTTTTACGAGCCAACCTGACGTTCTTTCTGCGTTACCAAGCGAACAAAAAAAAAAAGAAAAAAAAAAAAAGAAGAAAAGAAGAAAATAACAAGAATATAAAGTAATACGAAAAACCAAACCAAAGGGGAAAAAAAAGAAAAAAAAACAAGATTTTTCCTGAGGGAGGTGCAACGGTGTTTAGAATAGGCCGAGTGGTACGTCAATCGGTGATAGTTTTTCGATTAAAACGAAGAACGATAAATTCGGTAGCTTTCGAAAGGAAATCGAGCCGTCCAATTTCCGAGCGATCGAGTCTCCTCGCTGAGTACAACAGAGTAGTCTCGCTTAAAACGCAAAAGCGGAAGTGAAAAACAGATAGACAGAAAGGACATATATGGGGAGGGGGGGAGAAGGGGGGGGGTAGGGAAACGCGATCGCTGATTCGACCGAAAACATTTTTCGCCGATCGCTTTGCGCACGTTTTTTCTCCCATCGTTCTTTTATTTTTTTTTTTTTAAATATTTTCTTGTATATATAGGTATATATATACATATATACATAAAAACTCGGAGCGAGTTTTGGTCCAAAGATAGATCGAATTACTTGGTAGGTGTACGCAAACAGCAGGTGTTCTTGCGTCAGCGTACACCCTTCCGTATCACTACTACCACTACTATTAACACCATCACCATCACCCTTCTTCCCTCTTGTTGGTTTTCATACGAATTTCCATCGACTCATGCTGCAGAGTTGCGTGTGTCGTTTATCTCTCTCTCTCTCTCTCTCTCTCTCTCACCCTCTCTATGCACCAATGCACCGACGCTCATTCGCTTGCGAGCACATGCCTATATCTAGCGTAAGTTCGCCGAGTTGCACTTGCCTGTTTTGCAAGCTCGAGGGGCTTCCGGATTGAATCTGTATACGAAGCGTTGGCTTTTAACTCTCTCTTTTTCTCCCTCAAACACACGGACATAGGACATATATATGTATATATACAAACAGAAATACACATTTGAAACAAACACACGTACACATCAAATAACGACAAAGACATTCGGACACTCGGCATTCCGAATTAATACACAGTCCAACGG